CCATCCGCAACATGCAACCTTGTGATAATATTATGCAACCATAACCTTATAAGATGTCTTTAGATAGGCTAAATCTCAATTGCTAAAGAGGAATAAACTATAAGTGTCTGCTTAGCACTTTCTGAATTAGTTCTTCCAACTAACAGTTAATGTAGCTTGACTTAAATTTGGATCGTTAAACTTTACAGACATCCAATAAACTCGAAACTAGAGTTCCAAATGATCTCCCAAATGATCCAATAATCCTTAAGTGAGTATAAACTCTCTTTTATTCTCAATCAAAACTTTATAAACTATTTGGCTGCATTCAATAGGTTAATAATCAAGATTCAATCATTTCTTGGGACATTCAATAGGTTAATAATCAATGATCCAATAATCCAATTGCATACATTTTTTTAAAATACAAAAGATCACCAACCATATGTATAACTATTGTCTATCCTAAACTTTATACTCATTCTTGGGACAATGAATGAGATAGATAAATTAATTTTCCTTAGAGTATCTCCCACTCAGTCTATAGTATATACAATTATTAACTTTATTTATCTCGATAAAAATGAGATAATGACTTAATATAATTGTAATACCATAGAGGGAGTTACCTTAATATCAAAAGTTTCAAAATGACATAGATTACAAAACGTTTCTCATCAAAACCAAAAGAAAAAACCTCTTGTAACCAAAGTCCTTATTTTGATGAAACTTATGTTAACTAGACATACCTTATGTCTCTCATTATTGTCTTATGAATCCATTAAGCCACATTTATGACCAATGAGACTCATACTCTTAGACAATTTGACAAAACCTCAAAATGTCAATTCACACATAATTTCATCAAAGCTTTAATATACTTATGGTCAATCATATTTCTTTTACCATAACCTTAACAAATTGAGTTAGTTTCATATGTCTTGTACCACTTAAAAATTTGGTTGCTTTATGTGAGTGAAAAAACAAGAAAACTTACTCACGAAATACTTAAGTGGTACAAAACGAAACTAGGGAACTCATGATTGAGAAGCAAACTTTAGGATGTGGATTAATAAAGGATACATTGTGCATTTAGTCTTTTCTCGTTCAATTTTTCTTTAATCACATAACAAAAGAAACACCTTATGCACAATTAATGCGCCCTTAGATTGAATACGAGATTTAGACATATCACAATGTACTTATGTTCCATTTAACTTTATTGAAACAATAATCAAAAGATATATTATTTCACCAAATATCCATAGTGGAACTTCCTACATTAACCATCAACCTTATGTCCCAATAATAACCAATTTTTTTTTATTTTTATTTTTTTCTTTCTATAAGCATATAAAACTTATAGAAAAATATATAATGTCAAATGAATTAAGGTAAGCAGAAGATTAGAGCGATAGCAAAATACTCATGCATAAATTTATGTCACACATAAATATGGGTAAGTAGACCAAATAGGACACATGGCAAGACACCATAGTGCAACATTAATCTCGTCTATGGACAGAAAATTAACTGCAGTGGTAATCTTGTTGTAACGATCAAGCATTGATAATAAGTTCTGTCAAACAAAAGTCTATCTTTGGACTGACTAATGTTCACATGAACAATTCAAATAATTATCACATACTTATCATCACATGTGTGTTATTATTTTGCCAAATTGTGCCTACCTATGGGCCGAACACAAAACGCATAAATAATTCCACACAACATCTATGTAATTTCAATAAAGTCGCTCTCAACACACAGAGGTTGCTATGGCAACATGATGTTTTGATTGACTAAATTGAAAATTACTAGACCAATTGAGTAAAATCCATATGAGTTTCTCTTATCACCATATGTGCGTTATTATTCGATCAACCTGTGTCTACCTATGGGCCGAGCACTGATCACATGAACAACTTCACACAACATTTAAAAGGATTTCAATAAAGTCATTCTCTATGCCCAGAGGTTGCTATGGCAACATGATACTTTGATTGACTAAATTGAAAAACACAACATCAGAGTAAATGTGACTGAGAATTTCTCTATTACTCAATTGAACAACGTTAAAACGTCGCCCCTGGAAAACTTTAAAGTTTATGAACCAAAATAAATTTAGTTCTAACTTTATTTAGATTGAAAGGCTATATAACCAATTAGGCTTAAAATCTAATTTCAATAAGTTTAAATCCAAATAAATTTTCTTTTGAATTTACGGCCCACTATTACCAAATTGGGTTAAAATTCAATCCATTAGTCATAATATGACTATCCGAAATTTTGCTCAAGCATAATAAACTCAATATGACATTGCTTTGGAATTTAAGCCTAAACCAAATTAAACATATAAGTCATGAAAATGCTTAATATGTTACTCATAGCTCAAAGAATTCTTATGGATTATATGTGAAGGTTATCAATATAAATCCTATTCTTATGGGATAATTAGCCCCGTATCCCGGAAACACATTATGAGTCTATCAGAGTCAAACTCAAAAACTCATACCTTATAAATATTTTGAGATACCAAGGAAAAAGATAATCTCAAAATCTAACTTTCAATTTGAGCCAAAATATGAAACTTTATATGAACTTGTGTCCATTAACTTTATTTGAGTTTAAAGCCCATAAAACCAAATTAAACTCTAAATTCAAATTTATATAGACAAAGCCTAGTAGACCAAATTAGGCTTAACCTTACCGAATGTGAAGTAAGTCCACAAAACATAGAACAAAGTTCAAACATCTAGATTTTAAGCTAGAAACAAATTTTGTTAATTTGAGCCAAATTAGATGAAAACCAAATGTCAACTTAAGCTCAAATACACTCACAATTTAGCCTAAAATCAAATATAACAAAATAAGACAAAACAAATCATATTATTTTAGTCCCTTATGTTGATTTAAAATCTCATAAACAAAAATAATTTTAAATCAACCTTTAGATAGATAACTCCATAAATCCCGAAAACATACAAGTAGCAGTAATTAAACATTGACAATAAGAACATATCAAACAATAAATCTTCCTTTGAGCCGTCGTTTATATGTACAACCAAATAATTGTCGCATGTTTATCACCATAATAGCGCACATTATTCTAATGAGCACTCCTCAATTCAATTTAAATAAAAACCTAGAAACCAAATTAGACTTTTATTTAATCAAGTCCAAGAAAACAAATTTGGACTTTGGATCCAAAATACATAAGATAAGCCTTTAAGATATTCAACCGCATATGCAAAGACTTATATTATCATATCATATAATTGACTCAGTATCAATTACTGAGCCAATGTGTTTATCATACAAAACACATTTAAGTATTGGCCTCAACATTCAAATCGCACTAATACAATTGACCCCATAATTTAAGTATTGGCCTCAGCATTTAAGTGTTTAAAAAGTTGAACAAAATCTCATTATTTCAACAAAGAACAAATCATGTAATATAACTTGATAACATATTTTTGGCCCCTGAAGAAAGAAACAAACAAGACACATTCTGAAGCACATGAAACAATATAGATTCTCACAACAATTTACCGAAAAAAAAAAGAAAAAAAAAACACGCCAAGTCCAATACGCTAAATAAAACCAAAACTGGGCGAGGCACGATTCAAAACAAATACAATTTTCCCTTATTACTGTGTTCGATTAATTCGAAACAGTATACACATTATTCACAGATATACAAATATACAAATAATCCAAATCTAGCAGTCGATGACTGCTCTGATACCACTGGTAGGAATTTATAGTCACATAATAAATTCAATAACAATTAACCTTGAATATACTTTAATTCTAGGAAAACCAACATCGCGCTAGATTATAATTAAAGATTATAAGGAATACCTGGATCCATTGAGATTGAGTTTCTAGATGCGGAATACCTTATCATTAATCTCCGGATCTCATCTCCATGAACACGATCTAGATCACGAACGCATGAACACGATCTAGATCACGAACGGGGTTGGTTTTATGGTCTTCCTCAACTAAATCACCTTATTCCTCATATCTTATTCCTCATATGGCACCGTCATTCTCAATTCAGATGGGGAGAAAGGAGAACTATGTTTGATTTAGTATACTGGGGACCATAACCAAGAAGGTCTTCATATACTACTAGGATAGGCCACCCATTATCACCTAACCCTAATAATATTAGGTATCCACTCAATCAGCCCATATCAATTTACGTAGCTCATGGATTCTACTTTATTTAGATCACTTAACTTAGTCCATTAATTAATTGAATAACTAATATAATTGTATATAATATGTTGCCCATAATTAGATTATATATAGGAAATAAAATATTTCCTAACAGAAAATACATGTCACTTTCATTGCATTAGAAATCTATTAATTAAAATTATCTAACAATTGCTAGATCAAATTATACATCACAAATATTGGTATTAGGCTATCTAACCATTCTACAGTCATACTCCTTTACAAAAAACATGCATACTATACTTTTAAATGTTATAATTTTTATTTATAATAATATTGAATTGTCTAGCTTTAACCATTAGACCGTCATATTTTTTTGCAAGAAATGCTTTTTATTTTTATTTTTATTATAATATTAAAGTATAACATTTATATATAGAATTACATAATTTTTTGAAGTGATCGTGTAACATCTTCGTGATAAAAAGCCTACCAACTGCAATCTTGTTTATGTAGTTTGCCATGCCAAAAAGAAGTAAAGATTGTTGATTAAACATCCTTAATGCATTTTATTTTGTCCACTTGGCCAAAAGATTCTTTGTTCCACCATGTAATCTGCCTCATCAATATTAAGTATGCAATTTCCTGACGCTACACTAATGCATACATATGCATGAATATCATTTAAAATATAACATTTCAATTTAAAAAATATTCATATTCAATGTTACAAGTGTAATCATCACTATGAATGAAGGATATATTATTAAAGCTCACTTGATATAAGAAGTTCATATGGTTTACTACGAGAAAACTATAAAAAAGGACTCCATTTGAATACACAAATTTCCCTTTTCCCCCCATCAAAACCTTCAGTTGAAAGAATTTGAACTCAGTTGTTTGATCATCAGTTTAAGATTTTACAAGCCAAGATCCATTTTTGTTAAGAAATTTTCCCGAACAAGATAAACTATCCGACACTCTCGAACACTCGGCACAAGTTATCAAGCCAACAGTGAATATCCCATGAAAAAGATTCAATTCAACTAGGAAATATAGATTATCTGAATCACGTGCACAAGGATTCAACCACTCGATTATACAATCAACATCCTTGACGAAAAATATGATTTAAAATTCTGCTGCAAAATAAAAGAAAATCAACATGAGCTGTAATGGAGAACTGAAGTACGGTCCCAATCTCATCTACGATGATTACCCCAAGCACATATTAGCCGAAATTCACCACTAGATAACGATCTTCATTAACAAAAGTGAAAATACTTCAGTTCAGGCCAAGTGGAAACTTCTAGTGCCCGTACTTTTGGAACTCCCACTCGCTGTTATCTGTTGAGTATAGTGAAATTACTTGGTTGTTAATGTATTTTATTTTTCAAGATAATAAAATTTTCACTGACAAAATCAGGGAGTATTTACCTAGAGGACAGACTTGACGTGTCTTGAGCCATCTGCTAATGCAGTGGAAATGGAAGGCGTGATTGCAGACACCTGGAGAATTTATTAATTCAAGAACGACATTTTACTAAATGGGACATAAATAATATGGCGCAATTAAGAACCTTCGCAATATAGAAAGCTTAGGACAGAGTATAGTGACATGCGAGTTCGTGATATCTCTAGCAGCGAAAATACTTGTTCAATTTCCTAAAGCTCGAGGAAGCTTTTTCAAGCATTTTTTCACTACAAAAAACTTCTGTAATTAGAAAAAGATTTTTGTGGCAAAAACAAAAAATCATTTAATATGTCAAGAGAGTCACAAGGGACAACTAGTGATACATATATTTGAGAAAAAAGGGAGAAAAGAATGTCTCCAATACTAGAGGAAATCAAATGATTATCACACATGCCTCACCTAAATGCAAAACTGACAACTTAAACACCATACTTTTGCTGGTTGTCAAAAAACAACCCCCGAATAGTAGTTATTGATATCGCTGATCCCCAGCAAGCCATGGATGTGAAAACTAATAGATATGATAACTGTCGCATTATTAATAGTATCTTGTCAATTATATTACCTCTTACTGTAATGTTTAAGAATGCTAAGGAGCTTACGGATCTAAAAGAGACAAGAACAATATGCATGACAGAGCTAACAGATCACAAAAGTTGAAGTTATCGAATGAGTTCTATCGGTTGCTCATATTGCATGAGAAGTTCTATTTGACCACCCAGAGAAGCTAGTTTTTATAGCAGGAAATATAATCAAAATGACTTCAAATGGAAAATATGATAGTGTGACATACAATTTCACCATTAGTTTAACTGCCTAGAAATAGGGGAAGCGCGGATACTTTTTTACATGATACAACAAGGAGAAAGCCAAACAACTCATTTGAGCTAAATTTTACTTTAGTAACACAGCAGAACAAAAGAGCCCTGAGGAAAAACAGTTTATTTCACCAGTTCGAATTTCATATTTCAAAGCTTTCAGACTTTTAGCCATCCAACACCAAATGTGATTCAGAAAAGACTGCACACGCCAAATGAAATGAGCGAAAGTGCCAAACAAGTATAGACTAACAATATGCAAGAGAACATACATCCATTTCTATGAAATTTGCATGAAACAACACAGAGATAAAACCAGAGTTAGAAATACATAGATCAAGAAACGAAACAACAAACAAAAGAATTCTGGCCAACAATTATCATCGCATCTGAAATTCGAAGTAAGACCTTTACCAAAACCAAAGCATAACAATCCAGCTATCAGCTATGTCGCCAACAAATTCAACCACATCCATACAAAGAATAGAACAAACAGAACCATAACTCATCATAATTAATGAACATAGAAGTAGCAGGGCAACATACCCCAAGCAACCGTGCATTCCTCACTTGTGGCACTAGCCTGATTAGCCTGACACTCAATGCCTAAAACACAAAACCCACAATCATAAAAAACAGTCACAACGAAGAAGATAACCTGAAACAAGCAAATAACTGTGGAACACGAGACTCACACAGATCCATGATATGGTTCCTGCAAATAGCACAGTTATCGACCACGATGTCTGCATAAAAAACTAGGGTTTAGGCCTTTTTTTCACAAAAAAATAAAAAACAAAAAATCTGAACACAAATTCGCAGACGAAAATCTAAAGCAAGTCCATCAAGCAATTAACAGAGAAGATAGCTAAAAACGGGTGACTTGAACAAGATACCCCAAGCCCACAGAGCGACGGCGTTCCACTTCTTGATCTCGAATCGCTTCGCTTTCTTGGTGGAGGACGACGGATTGGCGCTGGAGGGCCCTGCGCCGGAGGATCCTTCGCCGGCGGGGACCATGTTCACGTCGGAGTCGAGTGACGCCATTTTCGGGTCGGGTAGGGCACCGGAATTTCTGACTGGCGTTGATTTCACAATTCGAAGTTTTGTGGAGAATAAGCTCGACAACTGAGTTTAAAAGGATACTAATATTAGTTGAAAAAATTATAATTAAAACTTGGGGCTTTTCCTACAAAGTACCTAAACCCTTTTTCATATTCCATTTCAGTCCCCACACAAAAAAAATTCCTTTTCACTCCCTATTACA